CCATTCCAAACCACACAGCTAACGTGTTCCGAATCGTGCAGCGGGATGCCGCATGGCAAGCTGCACTGGAAATATGTTACTCCCTCGATGTATTCGCGTTCAGTCCTTCGTGGCTGAATAGGCGCCTTCACCAGGCTTTTGCCTTCAGCGGGCTGCCTGAGATGATTCGTACGCTTTCCACGGATAGTGCTCCAGTCAGGTGTAACTTCACATTGCACTCGCCGTTCGATCTCGACAGCGAGGTTCAGGAACTACTTGAGAGATCAGGAACTCTCTCAGGTCATAATAATCAATGGAAGTGGGCGAAGGATTGGGGCACACGGTGGAGCAGACACAATCCGTTAGGATTCCAGACCGAAGCACCGTTACCGCCTTGGCATATGCTTTGCTGGCGGCATGTTCTGCCACAGATCCCTCCTACGTACTTGAGGCGATAGCAAACCGAGGTCTTTCGGCACGCGGTCAATCACATCGATCACGAGATGTGATGCACGCACCTCATGTATGTAAAAACCCGAACGGGTCTGGAGACTCCATTAGGATCAAACAAGCAAATTACAAGATCTAGTGTTAATGCTGTTACTCACTAGTAAGGTCTTTTGTTGTGATGGCTAGTACACTCACTGTCTCTTTGCCTGCGCGGTCCATCCCTTCCGGTACAACACCATCGCGGTAGCGTGCCCACTACGAAGTCGCGGTGCGGGATGTGCGGGGCGTGGTCAAAGCGCAGGGTGGATCATGACCCGTCACTACCTACAGAAAGGACGCCACCACACCGCCACTCCACCCATAGATGAGGATGTATACGATGCGCATTACCATCTTTTCTTGATACCCAAAGCATACACTCATCATCAGACACTTAGAGAATGTCTGACGCGTGGTCCGTCCACGCGCCATATTGGCAGAGCCCCAATCACGCCAGTCAATTGGTAGTCGACAGAACCCGGGTTCCTCCCAGTACTACACCGCCGAGACCTGTACAAGTAAGCTATCGCGCGTTCGGTCTTTCTACAAAACAAGACTAACTTGAGAAGCAGGAACAGCTAAAGAGCATACCATATGCACTACCAAAACTAAGACTCATGCTGAATGAAGAGCGCCGGAATAGTTTCAACTTCTACACGAATACACAAGGCGTTCGAATCGAGCGACGCGCTGGTATTCGTCCTGTTCACCATGCTAAACGTGTTGTTCAAAACTTCACCATTTTCGAAACAGGGCCAGACGGGAGCGCGGCCAGGCATGACATAGTTACGCGATGGAGGTCCAGCAACGAGGAGCCAGAGCTCGATATTCAGACCCTTGGGATGGCTGAGGACATGTTCATATCTGCTAGATCGTGGCTGATAAAGCGATACGGTGGGGACATCACGCACCGTGGCCTATTTAATGAGTGGTTCGATCGTTACCACACGTCGTTTCGATTTATGGATCTTCCGCGTGAACTGCAGTTTATGGTCTTTGAAGCATCGATAGGGCCGGTATTATGGCCTGATTATCGAGTTGCTCAAAGTTCAGAAACACCTCGGAACGCTGGCCTCTATGCACATGATACAACACCTGCATCACAACACGATCAAAACAACACACCACTTCCCACATCTCCAGAAGACGCACAACCAAACCCCAACACCTGGCCACGCGGCCTCTCCATCAACGCGCCGCGACTCCGAGACAAAGTATCCTGCCAGCACCCCCAATCCAGCCGACCCTACGGCTCAACCCGCTCCTCCACCCAATGGATCAAGACCCTCCTCCTCGTCAGCAAAACCTTCAGCCTCGAAGCCCGCAAGACAATCTGGGAAAGCACAACCAAAAACTTCGGCAACATAGCAACGCTAACCCGCACAATCCCCCATCTCTCCGCCCTTCCATTCAACACACTCCGTCGGGTCTCGCTGAACTTCAGCGACCGCGCATACCTCCGTCTGCTCGGGTATAAAACCACCGCTGAATTAGCATTCGCGCCACTTCCCGCTGCGAAAGCCAACAGCCTGCGTATCTTGACGGACATTAATACCGTCAACTACCTCGACCTGCACTTCCAAGCCCCCCTTCCTTTTCAATTCTGCGGCGACGGACTACATTCCGTCACGCAGTTCAAGCTCGATCCGGTTGTTATTCTGTGTCAGAAAGTGTGGGTGGACGCGTTTCTCACGCTGTTGTATGAGAAGTTTGCGCTGGGGTATGGGGAATGCGGAAATGTGCCGATGGTGAGTGTGAGTGGGGATGTGAAGAATAGTACGAGGTGGGAGTGGGAGAGTGTTTGGAGGGAGTTTAAGCATGGGGGGAGGAGGGATTTTGTGGAGGAGGCGGAGAGGATTAGGGCTACGCCTGCGGAGATGTTGTAAGTACATTCGCTATTCGTCGTCTTGGGATACTAATGTTTGTTAGTCCACCGGTTTGTTATTGCGACAATCCATGTGCCTGGGTCCAACCCGCACAGCCGAACCCCGGTTGTGGATGTGAGGTCGTTGCCGAGTTCAACTGCAGGGGTTAGCTCACCATTTGGAGTCCATATCAAACATCATCAGGAATTATCAGGAATTATATCACCACGGGTTAAGAAGTGTATCATGTTCATTGGTCATTCTCGACTACTCGAAGCACGCGACACATCTCAGCAGTCCAGACTAACAATCGCAGCACTACTCCACGGCACCTCCACACTAATCATACCCTTCCCATCCACCTTTACACTCTCCCCGCACGTCGCATTGTCCATGCGCACAGGCTTTCCTTCATCAAGCTCATAGTTATAACTATACCCATCCCAAGTAATACCCGTAATAGCATCACTTCCGTTCGCCAACAACCTCTGCACTTGCGCCTCGCCTTTGCAGTCGCTCGGTAGCTGGAAAGAGTACTTCTCTACTGGGCGCGCGAATGGTGTGGTGTAGTTGTTATCGGCGGTCGTGTTGTATGTGTGTAGATCTACGAGGAGAATGCGTGCGAGCGTGTCGTCGACGTGAGCAGCGTATTGGGTTGCGTAGATGGAAGATGAGGGCAGCGAAGAGATCTTGAGTTCAGACTCGGATGAGGGTTTGTGCATGAAAGCTGCGACGGCGACGTTGCCGTAGTATGGCGGCTTGGTGCCTCTTGCTGTGAGGTTCGTTTCGATTGGTTGCCAGGATTGGTAGCTTTGGGATTCTGTCAGCTTACGAACGGTTTCATGCTGGAGGAATCGTCACTTACCGGTAGTTTGTTCCTTGATGCATGTGAGAGCGGGTAAGGTTCTGCGACGCCAGATAGGTGTTCCAGTCTACACCCCACAACGCAGCACCGAAGCTGTTACTCAGACCAGGTCGCCCCTGTCGGGCGAGCGAGTTGTGTTCGCCCATGACGAAGGGGACGTTTGGAGCCAGTGCGTCTCCCAGTGCCTTGATGCCGTCTTTCACACCAATCTGTTCGTCTGCCTTGGCGAGGACGCTGCTGTGGTTCATCAACGTGCCTTGTAGTGTGATGCCGGGATTTGTAGAGACACCCATGTAGTTGTGCGAAGCGATCAGGCCGATGTTCTGCTTCTCGTCCAATCCCTGCTTGAAGACTTCGACGGGGTCCAACCTGAAGTAGTCGTTGACTCCGATGCCTGCAAAGCTCGGTGCCATGAACTTGGTGCCAGAGAGGTCTGGGCATGCTGCTTTGGTGGCTTCTTCAATGGCAGTCGTGCCATTCAGCCACTCAGATACATAGTCTGCCTCGGCCCAGCTGTCGTTTCGGTATCCAGAAGCAGTGAAGAGATCGGGCTCGTTGCCGTACTCCCAAAACAGCAGGTTGCTTCCTATGGCTTTGCAGGCGTGCGAAACGGATGCCCATGTCGCGATCCTTGCAGCGCTGGAGTTGGCGCCCATGTTGAAGCCGTGAACAAATCGCGTGCCCTCAGGCATGGTTTTGTAGGACTCGAAGTAGGACGGGCCAATGGTGATGATGGTCGGGTAGTCGGCGGAGATGTTTGGGCGAATGATGCCGACGATGCTGGTCTCGAGCGATTCATCGAAGATGGCGATATCCCTAATTCTTGAGTAAGCTACATGTATCTAGAATCGGGATGAAGGGGACGTCTTACTGTGTGTTGCCGCCGACGCGAGCAATCGGCATTGAGCCTTGCAACTTGCCAAGGTTGCTCATGAGGTTGTATGAGAAGGCATTGGGATGCGACAAATTGCCTAGAAGCAATGGTCGTCAGTCAAGCTGTCGTGACGATTTTGCATTTTGTAGGAGACATACCAGCAAAATCCGGCCATGACGAGAACTCAAAGGAATACGAGACGAAAGAGTCCAAGGGAACACCGGCATCGTTGGGTGCAGACTTTGGAATCGCAATTGGTTTTGTCCTGGAGGAGATGTGAGCAGCCTCGGCCTTTAGAAAAGCACCGAGAGCTGCAACAGCAAGAGAGCGCTTGATTGAGGGTAACATCGTGGGCGTTCGATCGTTGCTGCCACACCATAAAGGCAGTCTGCGCGTTGTTTATGGGCGTCGCCGGCAACGGAGATCTTGACTGGGACGTCATGCGGCAATTGAAAAGCATGGCCTCGGTCAATTTTCTGGTATCTTCGTTGGAGATCTGCACTGTATGCGGGGAATTTACTGGGGTAAATGCGTGAAAAGCCGGGGTAGCTGCCAGCCTCTTTTTCTGTCGGTGACGACCGCGTGCATGCACGCGTTCGATTAACCTGGGTTGCGGCTCGAGTTCGGGAACGCTTGTCCAAAGGAGGATAGACCGTCCTCCACTTCCCGAATGGCAGTCGCGACAACTTCATATGCCGTACCCAGAATCAATTCCCATCATTCTTGGCTTGCATTGATTACTACACTACAAGTATCTTATACGTGGAATCATTTACAGCAGTAGTGCATACCTAGGCGACATCGAATGATTACGCGTGAACAGCCAAGTTTGTCTGCTTAGACGCGACTTTCCGGACACGCGCGATGAGTACATGTTGAACTTAGTTCTCCACCTCGGAAGGCGTTGTACCACTTCGACTATTCGCATCTAGCTCAGATCCCTCAAAGTCTCAGCATCACTTTCGCCCCATGGGTACACCTCCTCCGCTTGCTTGACCAACTCTCTGCATTTCTCACTCCTCGGTACGATGTTCACACGATACGGCTTTGGATGGCTTATCACGCCGGGCTCGAACTCAACCCTAGGCTCTACAACCTTTCCATTCTCGACAGGCTTCTCGACATTGAAGACAGCCAGCGACTGCGCGATTGTCGCAAAAAGAGCGTTGTCTGCAACATAGCGTCCGGGGCAAACGCGACGCCCGTACCCGAATGTCCATGTGCGCGGATCAGGCTCCGCGGTATGGGTTGGCGTCGCTATGTAGCGTTCGGGGCGAAAGACCATAGGATCGGGGTAGACGGCTGGGTCGTGTGTGAACCACCTACATGCTGTCAGCCACGAATACGTCTGCTTCTCGCACGATCATACGTACCAGTTGTTAGGCAAGATCATCGCTCCTTTCGGTATCCTATACCCATTGATGTTATCCTCCTGCGTGCAGGAATGAGGTATCGACATGGGCCCCACAGGATGCCATCGATGCGTTTCCTTCACTACGGCCTCAATATACGGCAAGCTTGCTTTATCGCTAGTGATCGGGAGTCGATCTCCGCCAATCACACGGTCCAGCTCCTCTTGAGCTTTCTTCTGGACTTCTGGGAAGACGGCCATGGCTAGAAAGAACGTCATCAAAGACGATACAGTGGTGTCCGCGCCGCCAAGGTACATAGATGCAGCGGACCATTTATTGATGTACTCCATGGACGCGTCTGAGCCGAGAGATTCGATGGCTTGAGAGAGGAAGGATGTCTTCGCTTTCTTGTCCTGCATCTGCGACTTGACGAAAGCGTAGGGCTCTTCGGCCGTGCGTATCAAGGTCTTTGCCATCTGCCGAGCTGTACCCTTGAAGCCGGTACCTGGACACCAGTCTGGAAGGAAACGTACTTTGCGAAGTTAGCGTGCGTTCCTGCATACATCGTAGCCTGATGATACAAAGGCAAACTTACAGAACGGCATGACGTCGACAGGCCACTTTCCAGGCACACTTGCGTCAGCAAACTCGGCCATTGCCTGCCCTGCTACATCTACGAGCGGATCCGGTCCCTTCGCGTTAGGCGTATAGCCGTACGTGATTCTCAAGATGACAGCGCCTGCTTCTTTCCTGATGTGTTCAAACAGATCGTTGGGAGATTCCATAACATTCAGGAGGAAATGTGCAGCTTCTTCGTTCTGGACGCGATCAAAGATCGCAAGAGACGTGCTGGAGCTGGCTACTTTTGCGATATTGCGACGATGGTGTTTGAAGTTCTGATCGGGCTGATGCATCGCCAACGTCTTCGTCCAGCCAATCCTGCTTCTTCGTCAGTCATCTCGATCGCTTGGAATAGGCGTAGAAGCGTACATGTCTCCACTGAACACCATATGTGGCCTCCCTGAATAGATCGCCGCCCGATTGCTTAGCAGTTCTACTGCTATGTTCGCATCGTTGACGATCACGAACGTTTGTCCCAGAACCGTCACCGAGCTTATGGGACCATAGACGTCTTTATGCTTGAGCCAATGATGGCACTCGAGAATTCCAGGCTTCGGTAAGTCATTGATGTTGCCAATGAGAGGGATGCCTCTGGGACCCGGTGGGAGCGGAAGATCATGGTTGTTCTTACGCAAGAAGAAGCGGCTGAGTGTGTAGAATACGATAGTGCCGACGACGATGAGAAGAGGTGTCGATGCTAGTAACGTCATATTGAGGTAACCCTACTTGTGCCAGAGACGAACGAAGGTGCACAGCTGAGAAGTGATCTAGCTCTTGAGACGAGAACGAGGAAGTACGTCCACGGACATATTGGACTTCATGCTGAGTGAGCCGTGCGAACTTTAGTTTTGCGCCCTGCGCCCGATGGCAGCCTATATGCTTCGACGAGCTTAGTGCCTGTGGAGTAGTCGCGGTAATATCTATCGTTCGAGGCAAGACGTACCGCGGATGCAGGCATGCTGCAGGTCTAGCTGCTGACAGCCAATCTAACGCGGTCCCATGCAATACTTGGTACGAGAGCGGAGCGGTCGCTACCTGGAATAGAAAGACGTGTGTAAGCATGTCGCTGCCCATGCTATAACAGCGATGTATGCCAATATATGAAGGACGTGATTCGTGAGATCGGACCGCGGCTGGGCAACGGTGTGCGACGGGGGATGGGACATGGTGGAGATGGTACGGTGCTTAGCGAAACCGGCTTCCCCTCGAACGTGAGCTCAACGAAGTGTGCGCCACACTGCAAGCAGGGGCTGTTGTACCCCACCACCCCACCTAACAAATTTGGCATAGCTTTGCCATGTCAGAACACGCGTAACGAATTGCTAATGAATAAGCTTCAACGCAGCACGTTTCAATGGGTGTGATTGATCTTCATAGCCAAATAGGCAGTACGCTTATCTCAATAGATGTAGACAGTAAGGTTGAGCACTTTGAATTCATCTGACCAGCATACCTAGAGTCACCGGTGCAGCGTATTTTTCGGTTAACAATGAAGGATGTTGTGAGGTGCGATGGTTCAACAATAGGTGCAAGGTAGACAGTAATAGATTCGACGGACTTTGAAGAAGAACCGGAAAGAGCTTTTTATGCGAGGTTCCTTCTCAGTTGCGGGATTATTCAGCCACCATTCAGCTATCCTTTAACCATTAGTACCGAAGACCACAGGCTAAGGAATACCCATCACGGCTTCAGCACCTTACAAATGTTACCTACTTATAGGACCGTTCAGTGAAACAGCAAACCGAAGGCGGCGTAGCATTAGTGGAATTCGAGGTCTAACCTCAAAGTCACTTGTTTGTTGTGAACAGCCTGATCACACCGCAGATGGACCTTCGCAAGTCTTGACCTTGCACCAGCAGAGTTAGCCGCATCCACAGTTTGGCTCCGATTTTTCAAGCTTGGTCCTTTTGCACCAATCTTGCCCATTGTCTGAAAGTCCTTGTGCAATGTGGCCCGAAACAGCTCGCCATATTGATCGTCCAACAAGACCCACGGGGAGACATTCTCAGCAAAGCCACATGTCAACACGACCTGACCCGTGCAGTCTGAACTTACGTTGGCCACAGTTCCACTTCGTGGAAGAAGAATAGCCTGCATACTCAAATGTTGAGGTCAGAACAGGCTGGAATAGACCCAGTAGTCGTAGTAACTTACCTTGGAGATCACGTGGAACCTGAGAAATGCGGTGAAGTTCCGCAAACCACGCGTAAGAAAGACATTGTTCTGAGCATCCCAGAGCTCCCTAGGCTCGACCTCCAGTAGTTTAACTGTCTTGTGGGGCCTGGACCGGATCGGAGCGTTGATGCTTGGGATCGTGAAGTAAAAGGCATTAGGAGTCCTGCTGGCGCCGTTGAGTGTACCTGTGGCGACCGTCTTCCGTACATTTCTGGCGACGAAAATGCTATTTCCACCCGCGGTGGAAGTCGGCGTTATCAATTCGCCAAGTATCTAAGGTCTTGCGCGGACGTACGAGCTGGCGCCTTCATATTTAAGAATTACTCCAAGGTATACTTTTCTCTTTCCTTGGACTTCAGCAGTGTAACAATGTAGCGGCATGATGACGTCTTCTGAGTCTTGAGTGGGTTTCAACAAGGTGTCAATCCGCAGGCCTTTATTCGACATGGAATAGTCTGGGTTGAACCTGAGGTCCTGCTCGAGCACAAGATTGCCGAGGCTCGCGAACTCATCCGGGCTGCGAGCCAGTATGCCGCGATACGTGGATGATCCGTTAGCTGCCGTCCACGCGAAGAGGCTGAGATCGTTGCTGTTATGAATGATCTCTTCTTGTAGACGAAAAAATGCCTTCTCAGCACCCTCGCCATATAGCATGGGCATGCTGACGTCGAACAGCCCGATCAAACAGTACGCCATGTCTTCGGGTTTGGTAGTCTGTCGGCCTGCAGCCCACGCCATGCGTCGACCAACTGGTAAAGCATCGAGGAGGTCACGGATTTCCAAAGCCCCTGGCTGCGGAGGCGGCGAAAGAAAGCCTGCGTCGATGCCCGTAATGGACGCCAGCTCGTCTCGTAGTGTTTCTTGCGTGCCGAAGCAGCGCCAGGCATGGCCGTAAAAGTGTACGGTTCGCGACGCTACAATTTCCTGCAGTGTCCATCCGCGCTTAAACCAGCGGGCACCGCGCAACATTGCGTTCCGGTCGCTCGAGGAGGCGGAATTATCGTAATCGGATAGGTAGACTACACAGAGGGCAGCATCGCTATACCACTGAAACATGGAGTTGATAGACTCGGTCAGCTCAGCATTGTTGGTTTTGTCTATACAGCATGAGTCGATCCAAACATGATTGAAGCCGCACCGCTGGACTTCAAGGCACGTCTGCTCGATCTTAGTCCAGCCTTTGGCTACGGCGCGCGTGGCATGGTGGTGGAAAGCCTGGAAGGTAACTTCTTCGCTATCCCACGTATGTGAGAGAATGGCAAACGCATGCGGTGGGCGCCCAAGGAAGTCGATCATCTGCAAGGGTTCGCTACAACAGTCAATTAGCGTCATTCTGGGATGGAGTGAATTATTATGTTGATGTGAGTAAGTGAATCGATGAGTGTGAGGATGGAAGAGCCATCTTAATCGAAGGAGATTATGGTGAGATGGGTCTGTGCAGTTGCGTCAGCCGTGCATGCACTAGGCAGCAGCTGCAAGGCTGCGGTCATTATCGGTTCACTCAATTGCAGGAGTGGCATTAGGAAAAGTAAATGGACTATTGTATTGATCATGCGAGCTTGAGAGCTGGGAAGAAGTGTTAGCAATCATCACCACCATGCCATTGACATGCGCGGTAGTAGAGGCGACAGGCCTCGCTACGTGAACTGAGACTGCACAATAACACAGTCGTCCGAAGCCAGGCAGCGAGCCTGCGATAACGCGACATCACGGCAAAGGCAGCAAATGAAAATTGCAAAACGTTGTCACTACCAAGAAACTTGGTGCAACAAAAGCATGTCTCCTCCACTCCTCGCCCTTGAGCCCTCTAATCGGCTCAACGGGGTTGAGGAACAAAGGCCTCACCACCTTGAAGGGGGTAGATGAGGTTGTTTAATCTTGCTTCACTGTCCACACTTGCTCAACGTGAAAATCCGTAATGGCAAGCTCTAGCAATTTTAGAAGCGGATATCGATCCCCCATTATAGACAATGGAAGAAGGATGAGAAGAGGTCAAGGTCAAAAGAGACAACTCCCTCAAAGCCAACACCCCACAGGGACGGACATGTATAACGTGTATAGCGTGTGTAACGTGTATGACGTGCATAGCGTGTATGACGAACCATAGAACCACAGCGTGTATAACGTGTATAACGTGTATGTGCTCAAAAGCCCTCAGTAGCTAAATGCCGACGAAGTCGACACGAAGCATAAGCCCACAGCCCTCAGACAACATCCCGAAGGAGTTGTAACCAATTGATCGGCTGGAACTCAAGGTTCCAATGCCGCACGGGTTGGTCAGACCTGTTCCATGCCCCATCTCCGGGTTGAGCCTCCCGAAGTATAAGAGCTTCTCGCTTTTGAGGCCGCTGCAGCAACCTCACCGCGAAAGGCGCTGGAACGTAGTGCGTCGCCTTGTCGATAGTGACGGATACAGCCATCCATTGCCACCAATCGTTGGAGGGGGAGTTCGCGTAGTCGACCGGGGCCATTGCCTGATGGCAGGGTAGCATCCGACGTATGGGCGAGTCGCTCCCTCCGATTCCGCCGCAGCGAAACCGACTGTTAGAGGGCGTTAACAGTCGTTCTGAGCCATGCACCCGACTACACAGCCCCATCGTCGAGTCCCACGCTCACGCGCTAGCCTCAACGATAGGGAAGGGTCAGCTCATGGGAGAGCCTCCACACAGGTGGCTCTCGTGCATGGCCACAAAGTTGAACGCGTCAACCCACGGGTGCCTTGTAGCAAAATGTGCCAGGGACCATGCGGCCTATCGAAGACCGTCCGAGGACGGCTTCATATCTGTTGGCTTCTTCCTCTGAGATAGGGATCTAAGACTGCCGAAAGCTCTTGTGAACAAGAGGTCCAGCCTCTAAACACCCCATATCTCAGTGTCGGGGGAAATCCCCTGCTTGCGAGGTCCATGAAATGTTGACGCGTTCGGTTCATATGGTTCGTATAGGACCACCGTCTGACCTAGGGAGAGACTAAGTTCCGCAGAGCAGAGTCTCAAATCCCTAGCGACATTGTGGATTTTAACAATCGTGACGATTCAAACAATTCTGGTTGCTTAGTCAGTGCTGAAAGCATTGCGTTGGACTGAGAGAAGACTTACCCTCCAAGCCAACACCTGTGCCAATCCCAGCCGAGTAGGTCAGCGGATCACATGGCGACACGCCTAGTGCACAACAGTCCAACGGGATTGCTCCGCGCATGGGACCTGTGCTTCGGCAGTCAAATATGCGTCCGTTCACATCCTCGTCTGCAGATAAAACCACCTCCTATCTCGCAAGACTGGAGGGGCACCAGGGGATGGGTGGGTTCAGGGGGTGGATAATTCATAGTGGAAGATGTCGACGCTAATCGCGTCCGACGCGTCGACATTGTGCCATGTCAAGACATAGCGAGCAACAAGAGCAGTCCAGAGCCGCAACGGGGATGGAATGAAGGAGTTGTGAGGAAAGGACACGAAGGAAGTCGCGTTGCCTTTATGAGCTGAGACACGAAGGAGGGGGGCTGGAAGCGAAGAATTTGGGTGTTCGGGAAATGGCCTGTGTTCTCCTTGGCGGTGGCCCATGCAGTCGCGTCATCGAAGCGAATGGAATGGAACGACACCCACCAGCACAGGGGCGCGTTTCCACTCTCGCAAATACGCGACATGGTGAGTTCTGCAGTGCAGGTTGTGGTAATGGATAGCAACTAACACGTGATAGCCGCCTAAACGACGTGGTCCTCCCACCAAGGCGCCGCCTGTTAAACGCCCCTCGAAGCTCGCGAAAGAGAACGGCATCACCGCGGCGCAGGAGGCGGAGATTCGCGAAGCATTCGGTCTTTTTGCCGTGTCGCATCCCGAACATGAAGACTCCAAGGAGGGCGTGTTGAAGAAAAGCGATGTGCGCAGAGTTCTGATGTAGGTCATGCGAATGCGCCTGAGAGCAGCGCGCCCATGCTAACGACTGCATAGCTCGCTGAACCTCACACCCGACAAGTCCGAGATGTCCTCTATCTTATCCACCATCGACCCTCTCAATACAGGATACGTCGAATTCGTGCCCTTTCTCTCCTACGCTGCGATCGCCATACACTCGAAAGAACAAGGGTCCGACGAAGAGGACGACGACGACGACTTCCAGGGAGAGAGTAACGCGGAAGAAGTTAGTGCGGCGTACAAGCTCTTCACACACGGCGCTGCGGGACCGATAACGCTGGGGCACCTCAGGAGGGTAGCCAAGGAACTGCGAGAAGATGTGCCAGACGAAGTCTTGAAGGATATGATCATCGAGGCCAACGGCGGGGTCAAGGGTCAAGAGAAAGACGTGGGAGGGGTTAGTCTCGAAGACTTTGAGAGCGTCATGAAGAGGGCTGGACTGTCTTTCGGTTGAAGCCTTGAGGCAACATGCGCGACTCACGGAACGCTGCTCTGCACGACCATTGCGAAGTCCTGACGAATACTACCATCGAACGCGCTCACGGCGACCCTTCAAGACCTCCCGCAAAAGCATTTCAGCTTCTCGACCTCCCAACGCTTCACTCTACCCGTCTTCTCCATGCTATGCAGACGATACCCCCGCCAGTGAGCGCACTCAATCCCCAGCTTGGGAGGCCGGTATACAAGGGAGGAGGCAGTGAAGCCATGGTTTGAGATATATGACATATCGGGGAAGATATCTACACGGACAGGATATCAGATGTTCTAAAGGAGGATTATACGGTCACAACATATCCATAGTGTATCTGTAGCATAATCAAAAGATACCACGTCGTCTCGACTTGACTGCGATGCCAATTATAGCCGCGCCGATAAGCCGGCGCGATTAAATAGTGGCGCGGCAGGGCTGAAGTGGAAATGTTTTGCCAAGATTCAGGGACCTCACTCAACAAGCACACGAACACGAATGCAGCAGGCTTGCGTAACGCCAATCGCAATTTCACCTCGTCTCCCACTGCTCTGAACAGTCACTCTTGTTGTACGTTGCCTGTAACTGTGTTCACATTGCCACACGTCCCCGACTAACCCAGTTCCAGCTCAGCTCAATGACCGCGCCCTAAACTTGGACCCTTTTCTCCCCTCGTGTCGCCTAGTCCCATGTCCAGTGGAGTTGAGGTCCCCGGAAGCCAACGACGTCCCGGCATCTGGTCCTACTTTAGTTTCACTGGCCCACGCCGCCGCGTCTCCGTCTCCCTACCACGCAACGTCGACCCCAATCGCGACGCCAGCGACCCCAACGCCAAAGCTGACCGACACTCGCGCCATCGCTCCACGTATTCGGACGCATTCATGAACGACCACAAGGGCAGCGCCGTCATGAATCAAGGGCAGCGCATGCGCTACCTGAAGACAGGTGGCGTCATTGCTTTCATACTGCTTGTGTTATATTTCGTCGCACCGCGCGATGGCATCTCAAAACCGGCAGGTAGGTTGGGGACAGACGCTGGAAGAGACACGTGCTAACACCGTCATCAGTATCCCGTCCAGCAGGCGGCAACACAGCAGCTGGCGACGCAAAGGCCGAATGCACAAAGTCCTTCTCCAAGGACAAGCCGCTCATCCAGTATGCCCTCATGATCGACGCCGGCAGCACCGGCTCCCGCATCCACGTCTACAAGTTCAACAACTGCGGTCCCAGCCCCGAACTCGAGAGCGAGAACTTCGAGATGACACCCAAGAGAGATGGAGGCTCTGGTCTTTCGGCATATGGCGACAACCCAGAGGCGGCTGCCAAGAGTCTGGACGTGCTCATGGACGTTGCGCTGAAGAACGTGCCCAAGGAATACCAGTCGTGCACACCCGTCGCTGTAAAGGCAACGGCCGGTCTCCGCAAGCTCGGTGAGCAGAAGAGCAATGCCATCCTCGCCGCCGTGCGCCACCACCTCGACAACGACTACCCGTTCCCGCTCGTCTCGGAAGAGAAGAATGGCGTCGAAGTCATGCCTGGCGAGATGGAGGGAGTATACGCATGGATCACAGTCAACTACCTTCTAGGCAAGATTGGCGGCCCGGATAAGAACCCTACCGCCGCTGTCCTCGATCTCGGTGGTGGCTCTACCCAGATCATCTTCGAGCCCACCTTCCCCG